TGTAGAATAGGAAATTAAGGTAATGATGTTCAATCTGAATTCAAGATTTGAGAATTTGTGTGGTGCCCAACCAGCACACATTCCATCATTGTCTATTTAAGGATGAAGTAATGAAAAGTCTATGGATTCCATTTGTATCTATTGTTTTTTCAAGTGCACATAATACTGTGGGAATATTAATGACTATTGTGTTGTTTAGACGTAAGTACTTAGTAAACAAAATCACGATACTGTCTGTGGTCTGGTGTACCATGAAAAATTACTGAGACGCCGAGGATTTTGTAACCTGAACTACTTTAGGGATTCATAGACAATGATGAATGTCAGAGCACTTAGAATTAATTTAGATTACTATGCAAAACTTAAAACTAGCCTTTTAAAAACAAAGATATGACAGATATTATTCAGAAGAAATATCTGAGTTTTGGAAGTTCTAATATATTTATGCAGTTAGGGGAATAAACTTACTGAATTACAAAGTTTCAAATCAGAATCCAATTGTTAACTTTCTAAAACTGATTAAATTTGCATCAATGAACACAATTCCTACTTTTCCTACTGTTCTAAACATTTGACTTTCAATATGAGGTTATCACTAAACATGCAAAAATACTTAAAGTTTGAATTAAACATGATCTTTTGAGATTGAAGTTTATGAGTTTTCATTATGTATATTATACTATTTAACAACTGAGGTATGAAACATAAAACAGTTTTATAGAAACATTTTAGCTAGCTAATTGGCTAGTTATTTGGGACTAGTACAAAACTATTTCTTCACATGCAATATAGAATGAATAGATTCACAACTTTCAAGTAAGCCGAAAAGAAAAGCTATTATTACAGCTCACCAGCTTAGAACAACACATTGTTCTTATTCAAGATAATGTTTTAAAAGTTTTCTGATAAAATGGAAAATATTAGAAATCCTCACGTGTGTAAAGGGCAACAAGATATGGGAAATTCTATGTGTTCTTATTTAATTAAAGATAGCATGGATTTTTTAAAAGTATATTTTTAAAGAATAAGCCACAGTTCTTCATAGGTTTTACACATGGAGTCTAGGTATATCTTGGCCATATGAACCACATGTTTTTATTTTCCAAATAAGAAAACAAACAAATATTTTTGGAACAAAATGCAAAATTTAGAATTTTTTAATGGAAGTATTAAAATAGTGTCTTCAGTTTTCCTAATCTAGTACTTGGCAGAACATACAACATATTTTGAAGGACATTTGGGAAGGAAGGCAGCTTACCAATGTTGCATGAAAACTTTTCAAGTTGTTCTCACTCTTTGTCTTCTATACCAAGGAAAATTTTGCTGCAATAATTGTCTAGTTGTGTTCCTTATTTATTTTCCTTGATTGAGATTTTTGCCAGCCTTTTTAAAGCACTCAAAGTGAAAAAAAAAGATATTTTCAGGTAAGGTTTTTAAAACTCAATGGAAGTCATTTCCAGTTTTTACCCAGCCTGAGAAGTCTTTGGAAGGAACCATCACCATTCCTATAGTGAGAAATAAGTTGAATAACTGAAAATCAACAAATCTTTTTAGATCCATTAGAGAATTGAAGTCACAGGTAAACCACTATCCCCCAAATTGAAGAAATATACAGATGGATACAGAGTCACAACTTACTGGAACAGAAGGCATGAACAGAAGCCTTTTGGAATCAGTACTGTGAAATTCTAAGCTGTGATTAGACAATAGCTGCAGGCTCAGTGTAGAAAAGTTTAAGAGATAAAATTTTCAGCAGGACCCAGTTTTTAGGGGTTTCCCTGAACACTATATTTTTGAGAGTTATAAAACTCTAACAGGTTTTCATAATGAAGACCAAAGAGAAGGTTCTCAGTTTTCAGCAAGGAAAGGAGAAAAGTAGTCATTCTGAAATGTTTGTGGCACATTCTGTTCTTAACTTTCTTCAAAATAAACTATTTTAGAAGACCCAAACTCACCTAGGGGATTAGAAATGCCCAACAATGTGGTATTACATGGGTGGATTAAATGGGAATACTCCATCAGACGGTATTTCCACTCCCAATGAAGTGGTGTGAAAATACCTGAAGGAGGAGTTGGGTTAGCTGTAATTTATTATGCAAGTTCAAGGTTACTCCAGTATAAAAGGGTTTTTTAAAAAGATCTATAACCAATATACTAGGTGATAAAAATGGAATCATGTAAAATGAACAGTTAAATCTAGATAGGAAATAAGTAAAAGAGGAAAAGAAACAAAGAATAAGAGTAATGAATATAAAAGTAACAATTATGTTAGCTATATCAATAATAACTTTAAGCAAGAATAGTTTAACCATATGATCCAGCAATACGACTCTTGGGGATATACCCAAAAGACTGTGACACAGGTTACTCCAGAGGCACCTGCACACCCATGTTTATTGCAGCACTATTCACAATAGCCAAGTTATGGAAACAGTCAAGATGCTCCACTATTGACAAATGGATTAAGAAAACGTGGTATTTATACAAAATGGAATTTTATGCAGCCATGAAGAAGAACGAAATGTTATCATTCACTGGTAATTAGAGAACATCATTGTGAGTGAGGTTAGCCTGGCCCAAAAGACCAAAAATCATATGTTCTCCCTCATATGCGGACATTAGATCAAGGGCAAACACAACAAGGGGATTGGACTTTGAGCACATGATAAAGCAAGAGCACACAAGGGAGGGGTGAGGATAGGTAAGACACCTAAAAAACTATAGCATTTGTTGCCCTCAACACAGAGAAACTAAAGCAGATACTTTAAAGCAACTGAGGCCAATAGGAGAAGGGGACCAGGATCTAGAGAAAAGGTTAGATCAAGAAGAATTAACCTAGAAGGTAACACACATGCACAGGAAATCAATGCAAGTCAACTCCCTGTATAGCTATCCTATCTCAACTAGCAAAAACCCTTGGTCCTTCCTATTATTGCTTATACTCCCTTTTCAACAAAATTAGAGATAAGGGCAAAATAGTATCTGACAGGTAGTGAGGGGGTGGAGGGGAGAGGGAGGGGGCAGCGGGGGTAAAAGGGAGGATGGGGGAAGGGGGGAAGAAATGACCCAAACATTGTATGCACATATGAATTTAAAAAAAAGAATAGTTTAAATTTATGAATTATAAGACAGAAACTCAGGATAGAAAAAGCAAGACCCAAACATGCATTGTCGTTAAAGAATATACATTTAATATAAAGACATAAATAGAGTAAAAGTAAAGGGACAAAAAAGAAACCTATGCTTATATTAGTCAAAGGAACAAAGGAGTTCAGACAAAGACTCTGAAACAAGGAAAATGATCAGGGATATAGAGGAAAATTAAATAATGATAAAGTGCTCATTACTCCAGATGATAAAATAATCCTTAATATCTAAGGGCCTATCATCAGAATATCAAAATTTGTGAAGCAAACCTGATAGAATTTCAAAGAGAAAAAAATGAAGCCATTGTTAGATCAGGAAACTCAAATGTGTCTATCAATGATGGACAGATTTAGCAGATAGAAGGACCTAGCCAAACTGAGCAGCACCAGCCCTCAACTGGATCTAATGCATTTATAGACTCCTTCATCCAGCAAGAGCAAAATATGCATCATTATCAAGTTACACATAATCACAAAGATAGCCTACATTATTGGTCATGAAACAACCTCGTCAATTTTATAAGAATGGAAATCATGCAAAGTAATTTCTCTGACCCTAATGGAACTAAGCCAAAAATCAGCAATATATTTGTAAAACTCCAAACATAAAGATTAAACAGCAAGCTTTTGAATTACATATGGGTCAGGACTGAAGGCATTGGGGTAGAGCACTTACCAAGCAAGTGAAATCCCATGAGTTCAGAACCCAGTACCACCATAACCACACACACACACAAAACAAAATGAATAACACATGGGTCACAGAAAAAACTCTCAAGAAATGTCTTAAAATATTTTATTTTAAATTAAAAACAAAACATCAAAATTTGCAGGTTTTAGCTGGATCAACAATTATAGGGAAATGTTTCACTTTGAGAGCATTTATTTGAAGAGAAGAAAGATCTCAAATTCATATAATTCCAATATAGGGCACTAGAAAATGAAAAGCAGTTCAAATCCAAAGTAAATGAAAGAAAAGAAATAATGAACATTATAATGTATATGAATGAAATTATATTTTAAAATCAATAAAAGAAATGTGTGAAACTAGATACTAAACCTTTGAAAGTACCATTAAAATTGACAACCAATAAAGTTGAAATCCAGGCTAACTAAAATAGAAAAGAGAGAACACAAATTACTAATATCAGAAATGAAAGGGTGTCCACCATGACTGATCATATGCCACAGGAAAAGAATATTAATTAGAAAATACTTTAGCAGCTTTAATAAGTCACAAAAAATAATAGTATCTTGATACATTTTTACCATGATGTCAATAGAAAACAAGTACACTGGTTTTTAGTACAGACGTTTCCACATACTTATGCAGCTGAGGAGTACAGAAGCTATTTATAGCTCAGAAAAACATAATAATGATGATTCTCAGACTGCATTTCACTGCAGTTATTGCCACTCACTACTACTTTTGTCAGTTTAGAAATCAAAGAACCTGAACATAAGAAACAATATCAATCATTTCTCAATACCCACTGTGTACCTGTTCTAGGCACAGAATACAAACCACAATATGGACTTGAAATTAACAGGCTTAAACAAACTGGGGGACACCTTCATAGTCAACACAAATATTTGATCACTTCATGCATGAGTCATGCCAAAGTGAATGTTCTGTATCACATGAACACACTTTTTGTTCAGAAGAATTATGTTACTGATAGATGACTCACCAAAAATTATTTGTGCTAAAGTGTGTGTATGTGTGTGTGTGTGTGTGTGTGTGTGTGTGTTTATTTAGGGAGAAAATGGTATTTGTGAATGGTTTAAACACATTGTCTCATGCTGTAAAATATATTATTGTACTGAAAAAAATGTGTATTATTTGTTGTTAAGGTAGTGGGCGGCACTTCCTGTATGTCAACTCTTCTGGCCCTAAAGAAGGATCCATTGCAAGAATCATCACCACCAAATACTTCCCAGCAAGCCTTGGAGTGTGTACCCTTCGGTTCTGGTTCTACATGGTTGATCCCCAGAATTTGGGGATATTAAAGGTATGAAAAAGACAGATTTGTGTTCACTGAAATATTCATCATGCAAGTTTAAGTATTTTCCCTTTTCTTTCTTTTTTCTCTGCAGTCACACCACCAATATTGATTCATGAATTTCTCATTTCTTGCTGGGGCAATGGGTCTTTGGCATGTAGTTCTGTCATTCATCTTCATTTCAATTAAGATTTAGCTCTCTGATGGCTGCCACCTGAACTCAGTTATGGTGCTTGCTATTTGAAAGATTATCTGGTGAAAAAAAGACTGGGTAGATTCTACCTATATTTTCTAATAGCAACTTATCTAGAGACAATGAAGAAATATAATGTCAGGCGTAACGATGACGAGAATTCTCTACCACAAATAAAGGCAAAGAAAAATTAAAGTTTTAACTATATATCAGTCCATTGAACTTGCCTGTTCAATTTTTAACAAATTTAAAGTAATAATCTGGACCAAGTACAAATGTCTTTAAAGAAAACATTGTTGCATTTATATTGCTTATTGTGTAAAAGATTAATGAGTTTTTTGGTAATCATGAACCAATTTTGGAATCTATTTCTAATAAAAGACTGTGTATTAGGACCTAACACTTAGTGTCTTGACCTAGCAGTTATTTGATAACTTGTCATTTGGGAAAGTACAGTTGAAATGATTATCTTTATCCCAAACCTTGCCCCTTGTGAATAATAGCAGGTATTAGAAAGGATATCTTTAAATAGCAGCTATCTTTCAGGGTTTTTGTTATACAGTTTGTACATGGAATCAATTCTAATTCTCTCACTTACCTGATATGGTAGGTGTATTTTCCCAATTTTTACAATAAGGAAATTGAGACTGAGAAGATTTAGTAACTTTTCCTCACTTATACAATTGTTAGAAAATCTGATGTCAATATCTGACATCCATTATCCAGTGTTACTTATCAGGTTTTCTGTGGTCCACCACAGAAGTTTGAAGAGAAACATGTGAAGAAAGGAAAAAGAGAAAAAGACTATACCAATTCTAATCATTGATAGAAATAAGTACTCCTATCAAGTTTAAATGCAGTCATACCAAGAATGACAATGCATTGCTCTGTGTGAATATCTGCTTTCCCAACATGAAATCAGTAAAAAGGATAGAGAAAAGTTATTTTTAAACACTTCAGGGACATGTAAGTAATGCTAAGCATGTAAAAATTTTGAAAATTTTTCATATATATATATGTAATTTATAACCACTGACCTTAATCAGTCTCCACCCTGCATTATTTCTGCTAACAGTATTAAACATTATTGCTACAACTGAAGAGGACACTAGTCTATGATTATTTATTACTTATAAAGCAGATACCAATGGAAAGCCTAACAGTCCTTTCAATATAATGCCAGTAGATTTTTCTCACTTTCTAACACAATGTTGCATCTTCAATTCAAAACCACACCCATGTGTGCTTTAGCAGTTTCCCAGCTGGTTAGTTATCTACTTCAGTTACTCTACTTTAGGGTCCAATGCCTTTACCCATATTTCTGTAAAATCCCTCTAAAACAGAAATGTTGGCCTCAGTCTTCATTTCTGATGCCTTGTTTTTGGTAACTACTAGTCACATCATTGCGCTTTCTGCCACTCTGACACAAAAGCTCATAAAATCAACTTAAGGAATCCAAGATGGTGATTAGCGGGAGGAAGCAGAGAGCGTGAGCTCCATAAATCAAAAATCTTGCTGAGATGCTAGAGCCACACTTGGCAGAAAAAAACACCAAGAAGAAGCAAAACTCCAACACCCTGAACCCCCAGCCCATACAAAACTTCTCCATGCCACATTACACTGAGAAAACAGGAGGGCTCCCATACCACCAGATGCCAGCTCCAAACCTGCTTGGGAAACACAGACCAACAGGTGAGCAAATAAGCAGCACATGGTACTCCCACAGTCACTTCTGCGATAAACCAGCATAGCCCCCTGGTCAGACTGACCCTGCCCCACAAAAGAAAACTAAAAAAACTGAATAATGAACAAGGAACTGAAAAGACACACACAGGGTGTCTTTTCACACACACAGGGGCAGGGTGCACTGAGCACACCAGAGAAGGGGGGAGAAGCAAGGAGCTGATCTCTGTGTAAACTTTCAGTAAACAAAACCTGGAAAGGCAGACAGGCTGACAGTAGGCGGGTGATGAGCCCCTGCCTGAAATAGGGCAGATAGCTGTCCACAAAGTTCGTCTCCTGAACCAGTGAGCTACATTAAAAGTCAAATGACATCATAAAATTGAAAAACAGTCAACAAACCAGCATAACACACTGACAGCAGAGAGCTGGCTGACAGATCTCTGAAACTGGCCCAGAGAAAGGGAATGAGACAAAGTAACAAGCCCCCAATAAGCCAACACAGCAAGAACACAACTCCAAATCAGGATGGCTAGTGGGACACAGAACTGATCTCTGGAACCTGAGGACAAGCCACACCTCACTGAGGCCTCCCTCAGAGCTGACTAAGCAGCTGCCACTAAAAGGCAGGGAAAAAAAAGCTGGCCAGTCTCCCCACCCACCTGGCAAGACTAAGACACAGCTTCTGCTTAAATACTAACATCAGGACTGGATGCTGAAGGAATAACACCAGAACTACAAAGACTCACTTCTATTGTTCCTGAACATGGAATTTTTTTTCTTTCTCTCTAAGTGTTTGTTTGTCTTGTTTGCTGTTTGTTTGTCCACCATCTCTCTGTGTTGATTTCTTTGGTTCTCTATTTTTTTCTTTTCTTTTTTCTCTTTCTTAATTGGTTTCATTAGTTTACTATTATAAGTTACCAAATACTAAATTGCACAGAGATCAGGGACAGAAACAGCACCAAGTGAAACAATGGGAAGACAAAAAAGTGATGAAACCATTCTACCCCTAAAATAAGTTAGTACAGGATTCAGAGGGAAATGAAGAAAATGGATACTCAGTATCAACCTCCAACAAAACAAAGAAAACTATCCCAAGGAACCCAACAAAGCCCACAAGAACATCCTGAAAGAAGAAATCACTGAGAATTTCATGAAGATGTTACTAGACAAGGTCAACCAAAACATACAGAATGCACTCAAGAAATTTCAAGACAACAAAAATAAAGAATATGAGAAGACACACAAACAAATAAATGAAATCATAGGAGCCATAAACAATTACCAAAGTGAAACAGAGAACACCATAAATAGAGATATAAATGAATTAAGGGCAAAAATTGACAATATCAAAGAGGAAGTGACCCATGATATGGAAAACCTCAGAAAAAAGAATGAAACAGAAATACAAAACACAATGGAAGGCCACACTCCAGCAGACTAGAACAAGCAAAAGACAGAATCTCAGAACTTGAAGATGAAATGGAAATTAAAGAAAAAGCTGAAGAGCTATTAGTGAAACAACTCAACACCTGTGAAAGGAATATGCAAGAACTCAACAACTCCATCAAAAGACCAAACCTGAGAATCATGGGCATTGAAGAAAGAGAAGAGGGGCAAGCAAAAGGAATTTGTAAAATACTCAACAAAATATTAATAGAAAATCTCCCAAAACTATGACCATTCAGGTACAGGAAGCCTCCAGGACACCAAACAGACTTGACCAAAATAGAATTACCCCAGGGCATATTATCATTAAAACAACAAACACAGAGAGTAGAGAAAGAATATTGAAGGCTATAAGAGAAAGAGAGAAAAAAAATCAAATAACATATAAAGGTAAATCCATCAGAATCACAGCAGATTTCTCAAGGGTAACCTTAAAAACAATAAGAGCATGGAGTGAGGTATTCCAGGCACTGAATGAAAATAACTTCAACCATAGGGTACTCTACCCAGCAAAACTATCATTCAAAATAGATGGAGCAATAAAAGTCTTCCATGATAAGCAGAAACTAAAACAATATATAACCACAAAGCCACCACTGCAAAAGATTCTTCAAGGAATTCTGCACACAGAAAAGGAAAGCAAACAAAACTATGAAAGGACAGGCAATACCAAACCACAAGAGAAGAAAAGACAAGAAAGAAGAGAGTAACATTGATTCAGCTGCACAGAATCAAATCCTTAAACAACAAAAACAACTAAATGAGAGGAATCACCACACACCTATCAATACTAACACTGAATGTTAATGGACTTAATTCCCCCACCAAAAGACACCATTTGGCAAACTGGATTAAAAAGGAAGATCCAACAATCTGCTGCCTACAGGAGACCCATCTCATCGACAGAAATAAGCACTGGCTTAGGGTGAAAGGCTAGAAGAAGATTTATTAAGCCAGTGGCCCACAAAAATGGGCAGAAGTAGCAATACTAATCTCAGACAAAATAGACTTCAAACCTACATTGATCAAATGAGATAAAGAAGGATATTCCACACTAATAAAAGGGGAAATAGACCAAAAGGAAATGACAATTATCAGCCTATATGCACCCAACATCAATGCACCCAATTACATAAAACATACTCTGAAGGACCTAAAATATATATTGACTCCAATACAGTGGTAGTAGGAGACTTTAATGCCCCCCGTCACCAATAGATAGGTCATCCAATCAAAAAATCAGTAACAAAATCCTAGATCTAAATCACACCATAGATCAAATGGACCTACCTGATGTCTACAGAATATTTCATCCAACTTCTGCACAATACACAGTATTCTCCACAGCTCATGGAACCTTCTACAAAATTTGATCATATCTTAGGGCACAAAGGAAGCCTCAGCAAATATAAAAAAATAGAAATAATCCCATGCATTCTATATGATCACAATCCATTAAACTAGAACTCAACAACAAAAACAACAGTAAAAAAAACATGCAAACAATTGGAAACTGAACAATACATTGCTCAATGATCAATGGGTCATTGATGAAATAAAAGAGGAAATTAAAAGTTTCCTGGAAGTTAATGAAAATGAAAACACTACCTACTGGAACCTATGGGACACATCAAAGGCTGTCCTAAGAGGAAAGTTTATAGCCATGAGTGCATATATTAAAAGGTCA